GTTTCTGTCCATGAAGCTGACACTCCAACTTCCAGTTTCTGTCCATGAAGCTGACACTCCAACTTCCAGTTTCTGTCCATGAGGCTGACACTCTGTCTACTTTTAAGATTAGACTGAAGACTTTCCTTTTTGATAAATCATATAGTTAGACTTAGGTTTCCTGAATTATTCTTCATTTCTGCTGCTATAGACTTAGACTGCTGGAGCACAAACTGAGCACATTTCCTCACTCTGCTGTTGTCTTTGGTCTCTCTTCTCTGCATGTTTATTATAATTATTTCTATCATGTTTTTTCTTTGTCTCTTTTCCAGAAGAAGGTGCACCTGGACCAGTCCYGGACCAGTTCTTCTGTGTTTTTCTGTGTCTCTTTCCTGTCCTCCAACCAGCCGGTCGAGGCAGATGGTCTCCTGTCCTGAGCCTGGTTCTGCTGGAGGTTTCTTCCTGATCAGCAGGGAGTTTTCCTCTCCACTGTTTGCTCAGGATGGGAGACTGTGATGAAGTGATTCAACACAATCTGCTGBTTTCTTCTTTAGATTATTCTTTTTATGTACAGTGCCCTGAGACAACGTATGTTGTGACTTGGTGATATATAAATAAACTTGAACTTGAACTCCTCTCCTACTGGTCAACAGACAGGAAGGAGCAGGATCCATGTTCAGATTGGTTGTGCATGCTTGTGCTGCCTCAGTTTAGCTTAAAGTTTAAGGTTTAGTTAAAAACAAAGGCAAGGAGGAAAAACACTTACCTGTGCCTTATTTACATAATGTGGCAGAAATGCAATGAAATGTAATGTAATGTAAGTTTTGGTCCTCCATAGAAATGTGTCTCTGAAAAGCTGCTGTAATGGCCATATAGCTATATCTCATCTCTGTCTCCCTACAACTGAACAAGAACAGTCAGCCCTGACCCCCACATCATGAACACATGATGGGGTCATGGTAAAAGCATATGAGTCGGACTGAAGAGTAAAGGGAAGAGATTCAGCCTTATTTGGCTTTGATCATTGAAAAAGATCTCTAAATATTTACAATGTGCTTCAGTAACTGTACTCATTTGATTTCCATCATTTTTCTCTAGGTATGTGTCTGCGCTGACCACACCGGCACGGCTGTCTCCTGTAGAGTTTCACTACCCCCCGCTACCACCCCAGGTGCCCACCTTCCAGATCACCTCACCCAACAGAAGCCACGCCCTCTCCCTCCCCCCCGCTGCTGCTGCCTACCACAGAGATGACGACCAGCCGCTGCTGAGATGTCCTGATGTACGTAAACAAACGGGTAGACGGTGGCACTACATGATTTGGTAACAAATGCGACCCGTTACATCGAATCGTGGATTAAGTCACAAGTAGTGAAGTGAGATATAGGCCGCTACAGTGCATTGGTAAAATGTTTTTGATAACGGGATTTTATCATAATATGAAGAATGAACCTTATTTGTTGGTGCCATGAAGGAAATGTCTGAAATATAATCCTACAGATTGTTTTAAGCACTTTTCTGAACAGTAGCAGAAAATAGCCATAATTTTGAGCAGAAAAGTCCTAAAGTTTTGTTACAATCCCTGGATGCAAGCTGCAGTACCAGCTGGGAAATCCTGAAATCCAAGCATGGTTTGATATTTCCTCGTTTATTTCAGGGGTCATCCTAATTAGCAAGATAAATCAAGCCATATCTCTGGAACTATTCCTAGTATGGCTATTAAAATGTAGCTTTAAAAGACAGGAATATGAAAATGTGTCTAGGGCTATGTTCGCACTGCAGGCAAATGCGACCCAAATCCAATTTTTTTGCCCCATGCGACCCATATATGATTTTTTTTATGACAGTCTGAACAAGACAAATCCGATTTTTTCAAATCCGACCCAGGCTGTTTCAGTATGTGGTTCTAAATCGAATGCATATCGGATGTTTTCAAAGTGACTGCAGTGTGAACGCTCATGTCACATTCCATCTGACTTTTTCATCAGTGAGGTCGGGGTGAAGGAGCGATAAGAATCAGAATCAGAATCGTTTTATTGTCATTCACACACAACATCAAGATGCAGTGCAGAACCAAATTTGCAGTTTAGAACATCCGTCCGGAGAAACACACACACACGACAAACATGGGGAACGAATGTCCAGGGTCTTTCGCAACTTAGTGCACTACCTTTGCAGCTTAGAATACACACACAATAGGAGAGGTGAGCTGAAAAAAAGAGCTTTGATCCTGTGTTTTATACAGAAAAACACACAAACATACGCTCAAAAAAACTACTCTGCAAAATCAGTGCTGTCAGCTAAGGAGGGGGGGGGGGGGTCAAAACGCATGGTATGGGAAGGGATACAGGGAGCTGGTGACATCCAGGGCAGACTTCGTGCCGGAACCGATCAGAAGACCTCCAAAGTTGTTATCGGTCAAAGCACAAGTCACCAGAGTTCAGTTCTCTGTCTCCGCCCAACGCTGCCTTCAGACCGATCCAAGCACGGGTGAAACGGGTAGGGGTGGGGGGCAATCAAGGCTTTCTTCTCATGTGTCATTCCAGGGAGGTTTTATCATCCTGCGACCAAGGTCACAGCTGTGGCAATCCAATGATAAACATACTGTAATTCTCTAGGGCAAGCAGCCTTTCTTTTACTGCTTTGAGTCTTAACTGCGCCTCTGTGTTGCGAAAAAAGCCAATATTCCAGATTAGTTTACCATCTCACCTCTCCCGTATGAAACTTCACCCAGATGTAGCCTCACTCCTCATGGGCACGCTGCTGAGCTGTGATCCTTGTCAGCACCACATCCAGTCTGTGACTTATATCCCCCAGCATCTGATTCTGTGCGTTTGCAGTGCGGGAAATTCCATCCAAGGTCCCTGACAGCTTTTCACAGACCTGGACTGCTGTCAGGATCGTTTTCATTTTCCAATAAACCAGGACTCCTCCACAGCCAATCAGCAGGAATCCGATTATCATTAGGGCTGCACCGATAAATCAATTCATCGACAACTAATCGATTATTAAAATAATCGATGACTAATTTAATAATCGATTAATAGTTTTCTTTTTCTTTTTTTGTTCTTTACTTTGTTTTTCTCTCCAAACTGCTTTGACACCTTCCACTGCCACATCTGCATTTCTGTCCTTGACACACATGCACAGTAGTGGTAACTGGGGTAGGCCGTGGACGTCACAAGTWSGKCTGCACCGATTAGTTGAAATAATCGATGACATCAATTATGTAAATTTGCCAACGCAGATTTTTTTTATTATCGATTCGCTGTATTACATAACCACCACGTGAATGTTCATGCAATTCCATTTCGGTACCTAAATGCATCATTGCGACCGTATTGGCATAAGAGTGGTGAGTTTTCCATGCTTGTTCTGAACGCAGCATCGCGCAAGAGCGTAATGACRTCAGCAGCCGCTGCTTCAGTTCAGTCTGAAGCTTGAAAACAAGCCTCGCAGCTCCTGGAGTAAAATTTACCGAACAGATCGCCTCTGAATTATCTGCTGAATTAATTATCTTGTGAACACAACGTTCGCTTGCTCAAAGTAAATAAAGTACCACCGCTTTCTTTATTTCATCCACCATTAAACAGAGAGCGGTGTTAGGTCGAGCCGCGTTCCCCCATCAGACGGTTCCCCCATCAGACGGTTCCCCCATCAGACGGTTCCTCCAGCGTCTGAAACAACAGAGGAGCTTCTCGACACACGTCTGACCTAAAGAGCACAAACAGCCAACAAGTGTTGGACATGTTTTGGATGTTCAAAACGTAGCTTAAATACCTTTTATTAATTTTAACTGCATCCTCTTTTGTTTATTTGATTTAAACATATTTGCCTTCCATGGACCTCCATCACACATTTTTCTAGTGGGGAAATGACATCAATAGAAACACGTGGAGCTGGATTTTAATTTGTGCAATAAGACAAAACAGTCTTGTTGTTTTCAACAGTTTTCACCTTAAAGAAATAAGTTACACAACTGATGTTACAATACAAAGAGTTGGATGTTGTCTTGATATTTGTTAATTTTTATATATTGAGAAATATGTTAAATAAAAAATAGTAAATAAATGTTTATTATAGTTTTTCCAGAGAATGACTTGAATTTTGCATGATTTAGTTCATTTGTTAGATTGTTAACATCTTGCACTATATTTCTTTTACTTGAATTTTATATGCTTTGGTTGAGATTTTATGTTGATGTTAAATCTTTTAAGCATTTTTTGTTAAAGAATTGACTCTAGAGTGCATATTTTGTGTTCATGAAAAAACTATTACAGAAAATATTACAATATTAAAGAACTGTTCTTGTTAATTTGATGAAAACATTTTAAATATCCAGTGCACTCACATCAGAATAACTTATAGATTTGTTGTTAGAATATTCGATTAATCGAAAAAGTAATCGTTAGATTAATCGATTAGAAAATAATCATTTGGTACAGCACTAATTATCATAAATCCGAATATAAACACATCTTCGACGTCTTCAATGGAAAGCGGGGCCAGGCAGACTGGATTCCACCCCAGGACCCAGAAACTCTGCCTGGAGCCATGGTTCCACTGGGACAGCTGCGCTGCCCTCGCTCCAATCTCAGAGTGGAAAAACAGTGTCAGTTGCATTCGATAAGACACTAACCTGAAGTCACGCTGTTTAAATCTGTAGCTCCGTGTGTTTACAGCTCTAAAACAGAAGACTATTTGCTTCGTCTTTTTACTTTTAATTTTCCATGTAGATAATAACGTCCAGCCTGGGTCGCGGAGCGTATCGATCCTAAAGTTACTCAGCCAATACTTTATTTCCAGCTCGTTGTTTCTTTCCAAACATAAAAAGCTTCAGAAGCAGGTTCAGATATAAACACTGAACTAAACAATCATGTCAGATAATTATTTAATCAGCTCTGCTTAAACAATAACTTCAGATATGACATGCAAAATGTAGCCTACATGCTAACTCTGTAAACAAACTGAATGAGAAGTCACGTCTTTTACTGCGCATGCGTGTCACATCAGTGCTGTAGCGTTCACACAGGGGTCTGATGCAGGTCACATTTAAAATGTAATGTGAACTTTCATACCAAAAGATCGGATTCTTTCAAAAAATCAGAACTGAACGTTAAGACCTTCAGTGTGAACGTAGCCACTGACATCCATTTATGAGGATGGGTGGAGAAACCTATCCATTTACTGTGCTTGTTATCCCCGGTATTTTTACTGAGTAATAAACATAAATTGTTGCAAATTGCTCCTCCAGCTGTTTCTTATCCATACTATTTGCTTTTACAGACTTGTGTTAATCCTTTTCCACATTTTTTGAGATGAACTGCTACCATCAAACTCAAAATCATCTTGTTGCCCACATAGTAAAATTTGTCTGGTCCAGTTCTGGCCCACACAAGGAGCTAATTCTCTAGCACTTGGTCCAGATACTGCAAAGTTGGCTTTTTGATGGCAGGTGCCATCTAAAAACCAGTGTCATGATTGCTATTTTTGGTCCATATCTGGTCGGCAAACCACTTGCAATGCCAGCAGTCAGCCAGAAGTGCCAGCTTGGCACCAGATCTGGCTCACACCTACTTTGTAGGTGTGTTTAATTGTGAAAAGAATTATGGGTTGGTGAGATTTGCAAATAACTGCATTTTGTTTATTTATTACTTATTTACATTTTACATAAAGTCACATTTATTTCTGAATTCAAGTTAGATAAAGTTTCCTTGCTGATTTTATTCAGGGTCAAGCTGGGCTTAATGGTGTTTTGAGCTCTACAGCCCTCTGTTGCCATGGAAACAGGACTCGAGCTTGCTAATTGGCTAGAAATGCGTTTACTGTCTGCACAGCCAAAACAGTGGTCAGAGTCTGTTTATACAGAGAAACACACAAAGATCCCATGTGAAAGTGGAAGGCAAATGTACATCCTGTTATAGTCAGAAAAATAATTGCTAGTGTAGGTTCAAATGGAATATGATCCAAACAACACTGCTGCAACAGGCTTTTATGGTGCCTCACAGTTACAACCCCGAGTCAAACACTTTTAGTATCACTCAGTTAAGATGATGGTAATGGTACTGAACTTATAGAGCGCTTTTCAAGTCCCTCCGGACCCCAAAGCTCTTCACACTAACAGACATTCACCCATTCACACTCACATTCACACACTGATGATGACAAACTACACTGTAGCCACAGCTGCCCTGGGGCACACTGACAGAAGCGAGGCTGCCATGCACCGGCGCCACCGGACCCTCTGACTGCCATCAGTAGGCAAGGTGGGTGAAGTTTCTTGCCCAAGGACACGACGACTGAGACGGCTGGATGGGGGATCGAACCAGCGACCTTCCGGTTCCAGGATGACTCCCCTAACCACTCCGCCACAGCCGCCCCTCGATGATTGATATTATTTTGGTGTAAAACTAACCAGCATAAACCTAAAGCAATAAACTAAAAGCTTATTAATTCCATCCGTCCATTTTCTGCCGCTTATCCAGGGTCTCGGGGGCAGCAGCTTAAGCAGAGAGACCCAGACTTCCCTCTCCCCAGCCACTTGGGCCAGCTTGGTCATCCTAACCAGCTGACCGAGCCGCCTGATCTGGTTCCCTCCAGGATGACTGAGCTTCTCACCCCATCTCTAAGCGGGAGCCCAGACACCCATTGAAAGAAAACTCATTTTGGCCGCTTGTATCTGTGATCTCGTTCTTTCGGTCACTACCCAAAGCTCGTGACCATAGATGAGGGTAGGAACGTAGACCGACTGGTAAACCGAGAGCTTCACTTTCTGGCTCAGCTCTCGCTTCACCACGACAGACCGGTACAGCGCCCGCATCACTGCAGACGCAGCACCAATCCACCTGTCGATCTCCCGCTGCATGACAACAAGACCTCGAGATACTTAAACTTCTCCACTTGGGGCAGGACCTCCTCCCTGACCCGGAGAAGGCATCCTACCCTTTTCTGGCTCAAGACCATGGTTTTGGATTTGGAGGCATTGATCCTCATCCCGGCCGCTTCACACTCGGCTGTGAACTGCTCCAGTGAGAGCTGGAGATCAGGATCTGATGAAGCCAATAGGACCACATCATCCACAAAAAGTAGAGATGTGATCCTGAGGTCACCAAAAAGGATCCCCTCAACACCTCAGCTGCGCCTAGAAATTCTGTCCATGAAAGTTATGAACAGAATCAGTGACAAAGGACAACCTTGGTGGAGTCCAACTCTCACCGGAAACGAGTCCGACTTACTACCGGCAATGTGGACCAAGCTCTGGCACCGGTTGTACAGGGACCTAACAGCCCGTATCAGTGGGCCTGGTACCCCATACTCCTGGAGTACCCCCCAACAGGAGTCCCCGAGGGACACGGTCGAACGCCTTCTCCAAGTCCACAAAACACGTTTAGACTGGTTGGGTGAACTCCCATGCACCCTCCAGGACCCTGCTGAGGGTGTAGAGCTGGTCAAGTGTTCCACGACCAGGACGAAAACCACACTGCTCTTCCTGAATCCGAGATTCGACTATCCGATGGACCCTCCTCTCCAGGACCCCCGAATAGACCTTACCAGGGAGGCTCAGAAGTGTGAGCCCCCTATAGTTGGAACACACTCTGTGGTCCACCTTTTTAAATAAGGGGACCACCACCCCGGTCTGCTAATCCAGGGGAACTGCCCCACGCACGAACTGCTCCACGCAATATTGTAGAGTCGCATCAACCAACGCAACCCCACAACATCCAGCTTATTAGTTTGTGAGGGAAAATGAACAGCTGACAAATGACCACTGGCACACAACAGCTCCAGATTTTTGTAAAAGATATGAAAAGATGTCAGAAAAGGTTTGGTTTACCCATCTTTCTTTACGTTTGTTGAAAGAAAGCATAGAATAGGACGTAATAACATTGGGTGGCTTCTGTTGTGACAAGCAAACATTTTTAGAAAATGTATTTATTTCATTTTATTTATTTATTTTCTTGTTAGGATGGAAGTTTATACCGGCAGCCCCGGCGTCCACGGCGACCCTATCTGACGGAGAGCACAGGAAGTCTCCCCTCCAGTCCCTACCATCTACCCGATGACGAAGCCTACGAGACGACGCAGGAGTACGCGTCCTCGCGGGAACCCATCCGGAGCCGGCGCCGCCCCCGACGCAACCGCCTCAACGGACACGTCTCCCAGCGCTCGGTGGGCCTACGGGACTGCAGCTCGCAGAGCTTCAGCCAGTCGGAGGAGGAGGAGGAAGAGGAGGAGGACGAGGACGCTCACGGGGAGAGCACACCATTTCTCAGTATGCAGAACATGAACATGGACACGCCCGTATCAGCCTCGGGTTTCCGCTCCACGTCTAGCGCGGACACGCGGACTCACCGCGGGCTCAGTCGGCCCGGCGTGCGCAGCAACGGGCAGGGCCGCGGCTCCCAGTCGCAGCGCTCCAAGGCTGACAACATGCCTCTTTAAGACTGGACCCCGCCCCCTCCCTCCCCACTCCTAACACCTCTACCACGCCCCTCCACCTCTTACACTCCCCTCCGTCCTTCACACAACCTGTGGACTAGAGACCTGCACCTAGGAGAAATATTTTTATTTTGTATAACAGACAGATATTCTAAACAAATGAAATATTTATTTTCATTTCAGCAAAAATTGTCTACTAGCTAACAGCAAAGACTTTTTTATAACGGGGGGATATTTATATGTAAAGTTTTTTGATTTACAGCATTATGAGAGATGAAATATAAGAGAATTATGTGCCAATTTTTTCACAAGTTAGATTAATAGAATAATATTGTGGTGCCTTTTGCTGTATGCTGAAGTCGGAGGTCCCGTTGAGTTTTTGTAGCTTTTCTTATGAAGACTCCTCATTTTTATAGAGACCGACCCTCTTTCTTCCTATTGCTTTGGTTTTAGTTTCGATTTGTTTGTTTGTTTTTTTCTCTCATTTGGGATCTTCCTCTTTTTGAACTGTGATCAAATTATGTCATCATGCAATATTGATTCCTTCTGTGTAAAAGGTGTCTGTTTACATGACCCACTCGTTCGTTTCACAGGGACGTTTAGTCAACTGGATGTGTAGGGTAGAGAGTTTTGATGAAGGTTCGTCTGTCATTAACGTCCTCGTTCGCACTTATTTGTTGTTTCTGTGAAAAGAAGAGTGGTCAGTTGTCATAAAGTAAAGGTGACTTCCTATGTATGGTTGTGGTCAGAAGTTTACATCCACTCATCATGGACATGATGTCAGATTAATTTTGGGGCTTTTAATAACTGATTTGAACTGTTCTTTTTCCAGAGTGTAAGGAATATCCAACTTCAACAAACTGCAAAAACATCTGGATGCACAAGATTTAATTTATTGTTTTTTTTTCCTCTAATCCACTCTGGGTCATAAGTTTAAATACAGGTTAGAATATACACATTCGCCTAAAACCTTTTAATAACTAGTGCAGATGATTGTAGAATGGCTTCTCCAGTGGTGGGCAGCAGTAATCTAAAAACTAGAAGCACTCGGAGAGTGCAAACCTCCACCAAGACCAATTTCCCCCATCCTGTAAGAGTTAATGCACAAAAGCAGAAATGGAAACACATTTGCCGAATAAGTTCTGACGTAGTGAACATTTAAGCAGCAGTATGCACGGGATTTCTTCTCGGTGGTCTAATGTGAAAAAATAAATAAAGTCAGACTCGTCACCCGACGTTATTCATCGTCAAACTGATGTGGGATTAAGCTCCTAAGTTT